ATTCTAGTCTAGCCAGGCCAATGACGTCGTACCTTATCCTTCTTTCTTGAATCCATAGATCTTTTACAGCGGATTCGTGAGCAATGGTTCTTACATTGTGGATGCAGATCGTCATTTTGGTCCATTTCGATTTTGGCAGTCTAGTTTGGCCCTGAGATTTAGCAGCCTCTCCGTACTCGCTCCTACCTGGCGCTGCCGTACCAGGGGCTCTTTCGGGGTCAGGGGAACTGAGGCCCATAATTGTTACTGTTTTTTGGCATTTTGATACCCAACGTATAAGCTTGCCAGGCTCTAAACGTGGGAGCTGAGTACTCACGAGTAGCTTGCCAGTCTCTCTCGAAGGAGCGGGAGGAGCTTATTTGATCGAGGCGACTCCTAACCGCCTCCCATGTATTTCCCAGCCTCTTGTTTGAGGTTTCTGGCCGACTTGTCAGTAGAAACAGAGTTTGTCAAATCGGCGCTGCAAGAAGCAGGGAGCTCATGCCCTGAATCCACCTGCGTCTCTGAGAAAGCACAGGGTCGTTTTGGGGGTTCGCGTTTGATCCCCTGTCCACCACCTGGGAACGCCCACGTGCCCTCGGTGGGCCTAAACACGGTCGTGGCAGCCATCACACAGCCGTCAACACAATAATGGAGACACCGTGGATTACATCAACTTGATATATTTTGATTGACAACATTTCCAAGTAGTACTATTTGTGACCAGTAAACGATGGTCCTTTTTAGGTCCCTGGGGGATGTTGCTGGAGCAAGCAAGGTGTTCGTAAGAGGAGGACGCTTGGTCTCGGGGGGGCCGGGGTGATGCTATAGAGGGGGGAATCAAGTCGTTGCAATTCGTGGGATGCCAAACTTGTATTATTAGATAGTCATTAGCTACGAACCAATTGATTGCAAAGGCAAGTTAGAAAAAGACCCAAAAAAGGCGTGTGGTGAGTTTCCAACTCTTAATATCCAGCGTCGAACAGCGGCGTGGTTTGGTGGAAAATACAATTTGGAAGATCGCACATTTTAAGTGTCATTAGAGTTTTAGAAATCTGGTAATGACACATTAGACAACAATAAACAAACAATTTTCAAGATCAAGACACAATGTCTTCCCTTTCACAACTTTTCAAAACATGTGGTCTTTTTGAGAGGAGTGTTGATCACCCAGTGGAAAATCTTGGATGGCCCCGTTCTACAGCGAAGCCATCGGTACAATTTTACTCTCATTCTCTCTCATGCTTCCTCTCCCATTAGTGGTGGGTTTGCTTATTCAGGATGGGCGTTCACGTAAAACCTATTTGATCTATTAGGATTTTTTCTCCTCTGTTAAAAAAGCGAAACCGTTGATGTTAGCATGAAGAATCAGCCAATCTCTACTTAGGGTGCTTGTCCAACGAGCTCTAGATATTACAGTGGATCCACTGGAGCGCTCTTTTGTCCTTCTGTCATTCGCTTTTTCTGCATTACGCTACCACCGCTTCGTTTTGTATTATGTGCATTCTATTCTAGTGTGTGCTTTATGTTTTTTGCATTTTCTGATTTAGCTTGGGGTTCTAAAGATAGGAGCGATTCCGAAGCCTTTGAGTTGTGCTCTTTTGGCTTGACGCGGTGAGCCGCTTTTTCCAGAAGCTTTCACAGAGATTCGCTTTTATGCGATAGAAGCAGTAGGAATGGCATTCAACACAAATACGCGACACCCAGCTTTCGGCCTTTTTTACACAGAGCCTCTGCAGATCGCGGTCCGAGCAATCTGCCGCGTGCCAATCTACTGCAGGTCCACAGTATCTCTTGAGATCAAGAGTTGATGAAAACTCAGTACAGTAAATGTCAAACCGCATAACAATCAGCTTCTATCAAACACTCACTCATTTTATCGTTTCACAATACTTTTACTTGCTTTGTTTGATCCACCCTCACATAATTTTTTTCTCAACATGCTAGATCCGACGTGACATCGAGCATTACAATTCGTGGCATTCTGCAAATCAAGGCAGGAGAATTGTGAAGGAGAATTTTCAGGCTGATCAAGGCATTCCATATATTCCATTGCACTTTGTAGCAACAATTCAAAAGCTCATTCTCAGTCGGAAATGCTATAAATGCTTGTGTATTTAGAAAGGTTCTCCTTTCACAAGTGCTGCAAACAAAATGTTAATTGTGTTCCAGACACGTTGCACCTTTCTCGTATTCGCGAGGTCATCACATCATTTTTTTTCGTACGGCAAGACTCATTCCATAGACTGCTAAGTATCTTTTGATAGCTAAACATTACATCTGTGCTGTAGCAAAAATAAAACATTTGGTGTTTCACACACGCATAACTTCTCGAATGGCAGAGCTCCGTGTATGTACGAGTTTTATCTATGAGCGGGTATTTGTTTGTTGCCAGAGAGATGGCAGAAATGTGTTATAAAGTGAGTGACGCATACTTTGAATACTGGTCTGTATTGAACCAGTTTTAATTACTTCTGATGCGAACAAATTTAGTGTTTACTGTGCTTCTAATGTCAAAGTTATGAAACGATCTCAGTGATTACCTACCTTCATTTTAAAACGCCGCTATGCATCAATTGGCCGTGCGATCGATAAACAGTCACTCAGCACCCAATTTGACCAGCAGTGCTCAGACGTGCGAAAAACATATCTTCTGTTGACTGCTAGTTGGCAGTGGGATATCCTTTTAAGAACGAAGACGCCGTCGTTTGAGAATTTGTAAGCGATCGAATGATTACTTAAGATTTAGTCAACGAGTATCTGTTCAACGAATAATGCCCTGAATTAAGCCTGAGGGTAAAACTTCATTAATTTTTTGCTGGCACTGCGACACACTGAAAAGGCAATTTCCAGAAGTGAAATACATTATCAAATTTCTTCGCAGAGATCTAAGCTATCGAATGACTCTTAAAAATTTTTGAAGGAGCAAGAAACGCGTTATTGTTCTAAGATAATTGAAAGTGTAATGCCGATGGATGGGAAGGCACCTCTGAATCACTGTCACGTAATAATTACTATCTGTGCTTCCATAAGCTGCCCTTTTTAAGCTCAATAACTGCAACCAAAATCACTTTCCTTCCATAACAAACCTCTTTTACTTCGAATTAATTTTTTAGATGAATCTCTGAAGTTTACAAGAACTATATATTAATTTAAGTATATTCATTTCGACAGTGTAGTATAGAAGTGGAAGAGTATCACGAACTATAGACATTTTATCTATAGTCTATCAAATACGAAGATATTCAACTTGGTCATATATGTGTATAGTAACAAACTACGAGAAAACGCAACAACCGTAACAGCGCAGGTCCTCTAGCTGCTCCCATTTCTTAGTGTAACTAATTATGAAATTGCTTGCAGTCAGTGGAGATCAAAATAATCATCCACACTGATCGTACCCGGCAGCAACGGTGACTGCATTGTGCACTTCTATGCAGCGACCAGATATGTGTGAATTAGGCAAGGACATGTTTCATTATGGCTATTTCCCACCAAACACATGTCAATCTCAGGGACTCTTACGGTATGAGCAACCTTCTCTTTTCTTAACCATTCAACTTCCGAGTATCCAACTTGACGAGTTCCATTTGGCAAAAGCGCACTCTCATGGTTGGGGGACGGCTCCACCTCTCCTCTGAGACTCTAAACCTCAGTGTTTGCAATCACTGTCTGTCTCATTCTCTTTTGCCACTTGGCACCTGTCCATCACGAAGAATATTGCTGGTTCAATCTCCTACCACAACACTCCACTGTAGTTCTTTCAGTATTATCTTTTGTTTTCACTTCAGCATGCTCGAACACCAAAATACTAAACTCACACTATAACTCATATAGTAGCACCGCAACGCAGGTGATCAATTATATAATTTATCTATCACCATTTATTCAGAAATGTGAAACTTACAAAAATGAACTTTAACAGTCTGCAACTTATTACAGCGTAATATATCTACATATAACATAACAAATGGTGATAAATAAATTATACACATTGATCGCTGGTGTTATGGTGTTACTATATGAGATATGGTGTGATTTACTGTATCAGAATTTTAAGAATTTTGCAGTGAAAACAAGAAGATAACACCAAAAAAGCTACATTGAAGTGTTGTGATAGACAACAAACCCGCAGCCTTATCCCCCATGGACGGATGCCGAGTGCAGAAAGGAGTGAGACAGGACACTGATTGCCACTCTGAAGTTAGAGTGGTGGAGGGGAGGTGGAGCCGTCCTCTTTGCAGAGGTGAGAGCCCTCGTCCGGTTAAACACGCCCGGGTTGGGCCCGTCAGAAGCCAAGCGATTGAAATGACTCTGTTTTCAAGAGAGAAAATCTCTGCAGACTACAAATGTCGTCATGGCCAGTTGGTCAAGAGATATGTGGCAAAGTGTGGTGAACAGAGCAGTTCGATTATTGGATCAGGTCCATTTGGATCACACTTCTTCTCGGCTTTTGCAACAGTGAGCCAGAACGCGAGCTCAGTTGTGGAGTGTTTGAAAAACTATGCAGTTATCCAATTTTTGTCTCTTTCAACCTCAAAAACGTAGTAATTTGATTGTCTGCAAGTACGTACAGTGCGTCGATTGTTCAATTCATGAAATAAAGAATTGCATCTGCTGCACATTGCAGCCAGTTGGCAGTGTTGTAGAGAATACCTAGAAAAGTTTCCCTCATTGATAAACAAAAAAATAATGTACCCAATGATGCAGAGTGGTGTGCAAAAACTTTTTCATTAGCTGGGATTCGGACCCATATTTCACTCTTTCCGGAAGCGGCGTGCTGAAACCGTTGCACTATCGAAGCCCGTTTTGATACCACTCTTTCTACGCTACAATGCGTTATCTGTCAATAGCCAACCTCAGTGGTCTGGCGTGGATAGTCGTTATTCGACATTGAACCCACATATGCTGACAGATATTGGGTATTGATAATCAGTCAGAAATCATATTATTTGACAGCCTTCTACGATGCTATGATGTTACAATATGCCCAATAATGTAGAGTGGTGTGCAAAAACTTCTGCGTTAGGTGGGATTCGAACCCACGTTTCACTCTTTCCAGGAGCGCTTGTTGAACCGTTGCGCTACCGACGCCCCTTTTAGAAGCCACTCGAATCCCACCTGGCGCAAAAGTTTTTGCACACCACCCTACATCATTGAGTATATTGTAACCACCGCAAGAAGTGGTTAAATAATATGAATCCTGATTGATTAATAAAAAAAAAACAATGCTCATGTCACATGAAGATTTCCACAAAGTCAATCACACACACTCGCCCCAATGCCGAGACACGGTTGTTTTTGCAGACATAAAGTCATTAGATTACGTACAGAGGGTTCTATTTTTTCATGATTTTATATCTTATAGATTTTAGGCCCGTGACTTTCTGTTCTTCATCATAAAGGAGCTTCAGTGTTTATGAGAGAGCCGCTGATAACAGGAAACGATATCTTTCCGCAATCTGAGCACCGCTACGTATCGCTTGGTCTTTTTCAATGTCCAAATAATCGTTCAATAGCACAAATCAAGAGAATTTGAATGGCATATCTTATTTCCAAGAAAACTTTCTTATTGCGCTGAAGGAGCAAGAATAAAATTTTGTTTATTTCTCGCTGACCAAAGCTTTTCCCTTCGGAGTTTTGATGAGCATTCGATAGAATAAATCATAAGAATTCCAACAATGTGTTTGTTTTCTGCAGAGAACCTGATATTACGCTGCAACAGCCAAAAGAAGATTTGGTTTCACAAAAATGGATTACTTCAACTATCCTCTCTTCGCTTCGACCCATTGGAAAAAACTTATATCTGACCGCTTCCAATGTTTAAATAAACACTCGATGCTTAATTAGAATTTTTCAAAATTGAAAGAATTGGATTAGTGTATTTCACTTTGAAAAAGGTTTTGCTATTGCGTCAAAGAGCAAAATAGTAATATGTTTCCTCATTTGAAGATTTCTTGCTAATCAGGGACTATCTGATATAGTTTTTAAGAACCAAATGATAGATCAAATTCCAAGAATTTCAATAATGTTTTCTGGCTTATTGAACGGACTTCTTAATGCTTCATAAGAACCGAAAGAGAATTGAGCTTCGCATTCGATATTTTTTTCCAGTTTTACTTAGCTCTATCCTCTTCTGAATGTTACAGCGTGAGACGAGGTTGATATTTGAAACCAAATAAATCATTGGAATCCTTATGATCCAGTTATCTATCAATTATTAGAACTCCAAAAGGAAAGCTTAAGTCAGCAAGCAATCTTTGAATGCGAAAGAAAAATGTTTTCTGGGCTTTCAGAGCAACAAAATAGCTTTTGAAGTTGAGATATATCGTTGGAATTCTTATGATCTGAACAATCGAATGTTCATCAGAGCATTGAAAACGACCAAAAAACACGCTTTTTCCAAGGTATCGAAGTGAGGTAATCATTTTATGAGCCACGCATGTGGTCTGTTATGTAAGGGCTGTCATATAGAGCCCAGTACACCGTGTTTCATCATTGACGGTCCCAATCAGTTTGGGAAGTACCGTTTTCGTCTTTAGCCAAGCCTATGAGGGCCCGCAATCCTCTGTATTAAGAGTAGGCGGCGGCGAACAATTTACACTGTAAGTCCAGTGAAATTATCACTGAACAAAAGTGTTTGTAGCGCCCGACTGATGAGACCGTCAAGGTTGAAACACGTGTATCGCGCTCTGTAAATCAACCCTTATATGCCAGACCGCATGCGTGACTTGAAAAATGATTATCTGGCATATTGAAATTCAAGCGTGGCCTCAAGAAAACACACGAAACGAAAGGTATCGAAGGGAGGAGCGGATAATAGAGGTGAGCCAGTTTGGCGAAACCCAGTCTTCTTTTGGCAGTTACAGCGCAATGCGTAGTCCGTTTTGGAAATCAAATAGATCATTGAATTCTTCAAGATTTGCTGTATCGACTACACACTAAAACTCCAGAGGAAAACTTTGGTAAGCGAGAAACCCTTGTGATGAGAAGCGAAATATTGTTTTTTTGCTCTTTCAGCGCAATAAAAGAACTTTTTCGAAGATGGTATAACGCAGCTAAAATTCTTCTAATTTAAGCTATCGAATGACTATTTCAATTGTCAAAAACAAGCGCAAAATAACTTTTTCTTAAAAGGTTGAAAAAGCGCTCAGATAACGGAAAAGTTTCAGGTAAGACCATCATCCGACTTTGGGTGATTAGTCTATCCAGTCTGGTGATTTAATCTGATAAGATATGACTTATTTTGAGCCATAGGTCTAGTGCTATATAGGCGCCTATTTCGTCCCTATTGGGACTCATCAGTAGCACCCTCCCTCGGTTCCGTCGATTCCTTGAGGTTAAATAATCCTCTAAAGGAATCGGCGCCGAGTAAAAACTAATCACCCAAAGTCGGATGATGGTCTTACCTGACTTTTGTGGTGACCGGCAGTCGAGCTTACGGCTTTTAAAATGAACTATACTTCTGCTATCGACTGCTTTTTTTACAGACCCGCTCAAAATGATTTAATCTGATAAGGATATGACTTATTTTGAGCCATAGGTCTAGTGCTATATAGGCGCCTATTTTCGTCCTATTGGGACTCATCAGTAGCACCCTCCCTCGGGTTCCGTCGATCCCTTGAGGTTAAATAATCCTCTAAAGGAATCGGCGGCCGAGTAAAAACTAATCACCCAAAGTCGGATGATGGTCTTACCTGACTTTGTGGTGACCGCGCAGTCGAGCTTACGGCTTTTAAAATGAACTATACTTCTGCTATCGACATGCTTTTTTTACAGACTCCGCTCAAAATGATTTAATCTGATAAGGATATATGACTTATTTTTGAGCCATAGGTCTAGTGCTATATAGGCGCTTATTTTCGTCCTATTGAGACTCATCCGTAGCACCCATCCCTCGGTTCCGTCGATCCCTTGAGGTTAAATAATCTCTAAACGGAATCGGCGCCGAGTAAAAAACTAATCACGCCAAAGTCGGATGATGGTCTTAACCTGACTTGATACGCTCAGATAACGGTTGAAATAGGCGCCTATATAGCACTAGACCCTATGGCTCAAAATATGTCCATAGTCCTTATCAGATTAAATCATTTTGAGCGGGTCTGTAAAAAAGCAGTCGATAGCAGAAGGAAAAGTTTCCACATGAAACTCACACGAGCTTTCAGAAGAGACAAGAGCAGGGCAAGCGCCTTAAAGAGAATAAGTTGATGCTACAATACACTACAAGGACTTTTAAGGGGGCGCGCAACAACTATTCGGCTGTGATGACAAAAGTTAAACCCGCATTTCCATCCAAGACTATAGTAACGTGATACTACCACACCACCGATGTCACTTCTGCGCAAACTTACTCACGCTGGCAGCTATTTGATGCAAACAATTTGGGAATTTTCCACCCGTTTTTTACTGCTTTTCAAAGTACTGTGATGTTATAAACGTACGTCTAAGGTTGTTAATGTGCTTGCAAGGCATTCCGGGACAGTTTAGAGTTGAATTAACGTTTCACTATAAAGATGACGGGTGCTACCACTGTACCACCGATTACACCTCTTTGCCAGGACATCTCTCTTTGATTCCATCAGTACATCATAGAAAAGCACCATCACCATTTGATGTACACCATCAATCATCATCAACTTTCTAACCGCATAAATCTGACATTTGGCTTCGCTTCCCTGTGCAAATAAAATATCAGCCATTGATAATATCGAAATAACCTTTTCAAAACAAAATACATGCGAAGATAGAGATCGAAAGTAATTGTTACTTTTTTCACTGCTAATCTTATTTCAGTGCCAAGTTAAAGTCTCAAACCAATCACAAAGGTGCTGAGGTGCAAGATAAGCCCGGAACCTGGGGCGGTACAAAAAACACTTTTACTCTTTTTTGGAGACTTCACTAGATTTTTCCACAAAGTCCTCAAATTTAGCCTCTATCGGTGGAACCAAAATTTTCGATTTTTCTCCCATATTCAAACACCACAACACATTGTCTTTACATGCTCATAAGCCTCATGTATGTGTATATATATTATATATATCCCTTCGCGGACGATGAGGAACAATATGACTCTCTTCTTTTGCCAATCCTGTGTGGGTGCTCCAGTGCCCACACTAAGAGTTAGCGATGACGAACGTTTTACACTCTATGTCCAGTGAAATTCTCACCAAACACACAGTGATGTACACTCGATTGCTCGTGGCTAGTATGCTCAATATATCATATCTTTCGTTTCGAGTATTTTCTTAAACCACAGCTCAAATTTCAATATGCCTGGTATCATTTTTTTAGGCAAGTAAGTGGCTTATTAAAGATAAAGGGTAACTGCCCGACTGACGAGATCGCAAAATCGAAACACGTGTATCGGGCTCTATAAGCCAGCCCTCTTCAACAGACCACTGACATGCGTGGCTCAAAAAATAATTACTCGGTATATAATATATATACAAGTATATATATATATACAAATATATATATAAGTACAAATATATATATACAAATATATGTATATACAAAATATATATATATAAATAAATAAATATATAGATATATAAATATATATATATATGTAAAATCTTGTGTAAGAGGAAAACTGTGAAGGGGAAACGCAATTTTCGTTACTTTTCCGTTATCCTCGACCCTATTTGAGGCCCTCGATGAAAAGGTTTTTTTGTTGTTCCTAAACGGATAGTGCTCGATAGCTCAAATCAAGTTAATTCGAATGGTATATTTTATTCTGAATTATTGTTGTTACCAGCACCAATTTGAAAGCAAGGCGTTTTCTTAACTTTTACAAGTTGCTCTGTAGGTTAATCGATAGTTCAAATCTAGATATCTCAACAATATATTTGCGTTGTGATAAACTTTTTAGTGCTCTGTAACAGCCAAAATAAAGTCGTGTTTTACACTTGTGGCGTTTCGGTCCTTTTTTCGCTGGACAGAGCATTTCCCTTAGACTTTTGGTATTTATTCGATAGTCTCAACTCTGCTAATTCCAGTGATGCATTTGGTTTTTCCAATGGACATCTTAGAGAGCTGTAGCATCCAAAAGAAAATGAAGTGCCTCGCAATCAGCAATGGTACCAGGCCACCAC